CAAGTCAGGTTAAATCCATCGGTATTTGTTCCAGTTACCGTGATGACGAGGAGTTCCCTAACGGACACTCACGAATAGACACGAGTGGAAAACAGACACACCGGAGGAGACAAAAAAAATTGACGACAGAGGACAAACAGACATGATAAAACTGAGAATCTGAGATATCCTCCAGGCGGGGAGGGAGGAGAAGGGGAAGAGGGAAAGATGGAAAAAAGGGAGGAAGGGGAGAAACAAACGTTGCTGGTAAGTTTGTAAAGTTCTTGTGATTTTTTTACCTGTTCATTGTGTTCATCGTAGACTTGTTCCTCCCACCAGCTGCCCACACCCCCCACCAGCTGCCCACACTTCCCACCAGCTGCACCTCCCACCAGCTGCCCACACCTTCCCACCAGCTGCCTTCACCTCTCTACCAGCTGCCCACACCTCCCCACCATCTGCCTTCACCTCTACCAGCTGTCCACACCTTCCCACCAGCTGCCCACACCTCCCCACCAGCTGCCCACACCCCCCACCGGCTGCCCACACCTGCCCACACACCATCTGCCTAAACCTCCCCACCAGCTGCCAACACGTCCGCCCCACCGCTGCCCAGCTGCCACACCAGCTGCCCACACCTCCCCACCATCTGCCTTCACCTCTACCAGCTGCCCACACCTCCCCACCAGCTGCCCACACCTCCCCACCAGCTGCCCACGCCTCACCACCAGCTGCCCACGCCTCACCACCAGCTGGATGAGATAAGCACCATGAGTCACACGGGTCCGGGGTGAGGCAGACCAGCACACCTACATAATAATGTTAGCGAAGAGCGTTGTGTTGTGTTGTGTCGGGGTGATGGCCGCCACCTCTCTCTCTCTCTCTCTCTCTCTCTCTCTCTCTCCTTTCACAGGCTTCTTCTATTAATTTCTATCTATCACATCTATCTCACCTCTAATCTTTTAAAGTAATACCCCTCATTCATCACATTTTTGTAAATTATTATCGAAAAAAAATATATATTACAGATCTAATATGATGAATTCATAATGGAAGCTATGAACAATAAGCTCGCCTCGGTAACTAACTAATCACTCGGTTGTTAACGTCACAGTAAAGCATCGCGGTAATGATTTAAATGCCACCAATGATTCTCCTCTTGTTGGTGTTGTTCCTTGGGTCAAAAGACATAATATTTGTACAGTCAGGGACAAAAAAGGTTCGATCCCCCGTGGTGAAACTGAGTCAAAGGAATGAGTCTCCGAAATGACTTACCCTGACTGGTGTATCTCATTTGGGGTCGATGCCGGGGGCGAACTTCTCACTCCGACTGTATATTATTAGCCATTAAACACGATTATAATCTCTGTACTGTCGGGTGTGATGGCCATGGTACAATAACCCTTAAGAGGACGAACACCAAGTGCCTGAGGGTGAATAAACACACTCACTATCTGCTCATCAACCCCCCCCCCAAAAAAAAAAAATTTAAATACACAAAAGTTACAGCCATTTCGCAATTATCCACAATCGGCGTATAGCACACAGCGGAAACGACCCAGATTATACCTTCAATTACGTAATCATACTGAATTTCAGCTCTTGTTGTTAAAAAATGAGATGAGGCAAAACAAATAATACACACACACACACACACACACACACACACACACACACACACACACACACACACACACACACACACACAGGCCTGATAATTGGATCGGCCTATTCCTTAACCCAGCTCCTTTGCCCTATCTCCCTTGCTTTTCTCTTGTGCAGTTACATAAAAAAATAAAGTTCTTATTCCACAAATGTCACCAACTTGGGAAAATATGATGACAAGAAGGATAAATGAGCTTGTTAGAAAAGTTTAGTATGATGTGTCACAAAGATCTATGGAGGGAAACAGAAGCCGGCTTTTGATATCTGTAGAGCAACACTTCTATAGCATGAAAGGGAAAGAAAGTTTGTGAGTTCTTCTTTATTAATGTATCTGTGACATTTTGTTGTAACTTTTGGGAATATTTCTATAATAAATGTTTAAATTCTTGTCTCTGTTGGTGCTGTGCTTAGCCTCCTCCTATTCCCCCTTCTCCCTTTACTCTTCCCCTTCCTTCCCTCCTCTTTACATCCTCCTCCTCCTCTTCCTCCTTTTTTTATTACCCTCTCTTTCCTTCCTTTTTACATCCTCCTCCTCCTTCTCTTCCTCTTCCCCCATTCCTTCATATTCATATCTTCAACCTCCCCTTCTTATTTTCCCCCTCCTTTCTTCCTCTTACCATCCTCCTCATCCCTCTCCTCTCTCCTACTGGCGTTCCATTTCCTGCTCCCTCTTTTCCTTCTCCTCACTCTCATTCCCTCCTTTTCTTTCTTTACCCCTTGCCTTCGCGCTACTGGTGTTGCTCTCCCTCTACTCTTCCTCCTCCTCCTTCCCTTACTCCTCCTCTTCTTTTCTCCCCAGTTCCCAGAGTGTATGAGTGAAGTGTTTACCTGGACTGGTCGTGAGGTCAACAGCCTTGTTAAACATTATTGGCTTTAGGAATTAACCAAAAGATCGAGTTCCTAATATTTTATATTTATGTGACCTCTCTCTCTCTCTCTCTCTCTCTCTCTCTCTCTCTCTCAATTGGTTTACACTTTGCAATACAATATTCGTGGTAAACCTAAACCGGCATATCATCCCCATATATCACATTGCCAATATTTTGACAAAACCCCACATTGTTTTTCATGTGCAACTGTATGCAATATACCACGCGGAAAACATGACAATCAACAAGACCTGCAACATTTTCAGTGTTAAGTGCATACCTGAGTGTTATTGCGCTTTATGACTGAGTTTAATATTTACAAGTGACCTGATATGTAATGTTGTGAAGCAAGAGTGGAAGGGTGCAGTTTCACTTTGTATACCCTGCGTGTAAGATGATGATGATGATGATGATGATGATGATGATGATGATGATGATGATGATGATGATGATGATGATGATGATGATGATGATGATGATGATGATGATGATGATGATGATGATGATGATGATGATGATGATGATGATGATGATGATGAGATGACGATGATGATGATGATGATGATGATGAAGATGACGATGATGAAGATGATGATGATGATGATGATGATGATGATGATGATGACGATGATGAAGATGATGATGATGATGATGATGATGATGATGATGATGATGATGATGATGATGAAGATGATGATGATGATGATGATGAAAATGACGATGATGATGATATGATGATGATGATGATGATGAGGATGATGAAGATGATGATGATGGATGAAATGATGATGATGATCTGATGTGATGATGATGATGATGATGATGATGATGATGATGATGATGATGATGATGATGATGATGATGATGATGATGAAGATGATGATGATGATGATGATGATGATGATGATGAAGATGATGATGATGATAATGATGATGATGAGAAAATATGTTGATTTTTCTTCTTGTATAAACCTTTATCTCCATCTTGTTATCTACACTTGCATCACCTTCCCCTATTACCCCCCCCCCCTTTGTTTCTCTCTGTTGCATGATTAATTATCCTTCCAAGTCTAACAACCGTTGACCTTAATCTCGTATACTGTCCATCTAACTACTACTGCATGTCATACTATCCGCAAAATTATTTCCTTGATAATTTACTATCCGTCGAAATGGTCTTCACTGCATGGCTATTACCCGTCTATATGAACCTCTGTATATTTACTGTCTGTTGACCTCACTGCTACAACGTGCCCAATGTACAGTCACCCAAAAAAGTCCTGTCGCGAACCATGAACCCCGAGATTCAGACTCTTGAATCCGAATCATTTATGGACAGAATAATGCATCAGTGGTTTACTGCTTCGGGTTCACGAGTCTGAATCTCGGGGTTCGTGGTTCGCGACAGGACTTTTTTGGGTGACTGTACATGTAACTGGCTCCTCCTGCATGTTTATCACTGTTCGTACAAGATTGAGAGCGTCAGGACACATCCAACCATGCGTGCGACAGTCTAAAGGAAGTGGCGAATCACTCACTCCCCCTCAACACGATACTCACTCAAAATTGGTAAGAAATATATCAAATATCACTTCACCTCTTAACGGGGATTCAAGTTCAAAGCGAAAAGGTGTTCGTCGTTTTCCAATATCACTCTCCCAAGATGCCGATGGTGCATATTAAGGAATGCCGCCACGAGATGGAGTAAAAGTGGGTGTTGGAAGTGTGAGGACGGAGGGTGTAGTGGGTGTAGACTAAGCTGACTGTGGGTGGGTATTGGAAATTCTCGGTACATCTCAAGAGTTTTCTGGAATATATACCTCGAAACCTGGCTAAGGAAAGCGTCGATTACACGTCGGCTTTGACTAAAAATATGTTAAACTTCCATGTTACTTGTGAAGTTCAGGTATTTCGTTTTCTTTTATACTCGGATATTTCATCTTCTAGATTATTCAAATTTCTGCTGTTAAATACCATCATTATTTTTTTTGTTAATCTATTTACATTATTATTTATATATGGCTCAGTGAATATATAAATAAATAACTTTTAAGCTATATGATACCAGCAGATACAGCCATGGCATTAGCAAATTTTTATTCTTAACGGCGTATATAAATTGTTTTAAACAACAGAAGCGCTGATACTGATCTTACAAATAGTTAAAACAACTCCTATGTACGTACACCCCCAAGGCTAAGAGTTGCTTGATTCACGAGCGTCAGGGAGCACAGTTGTTGATCAGCCACAAATATCCTCACATTAAAACAATACGATATACAGAGCACGACACATGTATATCCTCTTGCTCCAGTAATAATATTTTCTGTTACATTACATTAAAACTGGACTTTTCCTCCCTCCTGAAAACATGAATTTCAGCACATACACACACACACACAATTACCTTCTTTCAGTCAGATCAGTTTCTTCTCGGCGACAGAAGATGACAGATCCAGAACGTGAGAGAGTGAGTACAGTACTTACCAGCAGCTGGACGACGAGTCGTTATCAGTGGACACCGACGACCAAGAGCTCTTCCTGGAGCAGGGGGAGGGGGCGGGCAGCCAGTCCATCTCGCCAGGAGGGATACATCCCCCTACACTCTGTGCTCTGTAGTTCTTAGTGATGATGGCACTCCAAGGGTCACTGTTGCTCGAGGTCAACTTGGGAGACTTTGGGGCTGAGGGGGAGGTCTGAGCCGAGCGAGGGGGCATGCGACTTACGTAGGGGAGACAACCCGTAAGCATGGGCGTCTGCGGGGAGCTACATCTACGCCCACACCTCAATACCATGGAGGGGAAGCTCGTGGGCGTCTGGGACCCCTGTTGTTGGGGCGGCAAAAAAGGCGGAGGATTGCGGAGGAGAGAGTGGGCGCCTGAAGAATGGACGACGGCGGTGTGGGTGGTGCGGGTCATGCCGGTAAGGGGACAGGCACCGGTGGCGCTGGTACAAGGCACGGACGGCGAGCGGGTGGCGACGTGATGAGTGCCGCCGCCGTTGGTGCCGCCGCTAGGGCCGCTGGTACTCACGCTGCGGCTCACCTGGACGTTGCGAGGGATCATCTTCAGCTTGATGGGCTTGAAGGGATCTGGATGGGCGAGACAAGAACAGCATGTATGAGTGTGGATGTATGTACAATTCCTCACTACCATACACAATATATCTGTAATCTTTAAGTTCCCTTACTAGTTAATTCTTCTCATACAAACCGTTCAAAAAGTTCATATATCTGCCAGAAAGTATCTTACAGCGGTTCTCATTGTAAAAGGAAAGTAGTTTATTGAGATCACAATCCCTCGCCTGGGAAAGAATTTAACAGAAATTATCATCATAAAAGTAAACAATTAAGTGAAAACACTGGCCCCTAAGACGTACCTGACGGCGATCTCTTGGTGCCAACGTCCATCTGTCTAGGTCTCTCTGGCATCTCCCGCGTTCTCTCCTCCTCACTACTTGTACCTCTGCTCTCAAGCCAGCCAGAACATCTGTTTACCTGCTGTGCTTGATTACCACCACTGCTTACACCTGTCCGAATACTTGCTACTGCTGCTGTGCCTCCCCCAGAATCCCAGGGAGCGTCGCAGTCGCTCTTCAGGAGGCGATACTTCTCTTTCTTGATCTGCAGAAGAAAGCAAATGTAATCCGGGTTAAATGTGTAAGTTAAAGAGCTTATATTGAGGTTATTTAATGGAAGGGAAGGATTACTGAACACTTAAAATTAATGTAAATACTCGTAGGAAGGAATTGGATATCGAAGCGTTAAAGTCATTTCTGGGGTTTAATAGATCATTACTGAATCTTGTTAGGTCGACAGTTAATATGGAAAGAGGATGTTATTGTTTTTATTAAAGAGTATAGGTGTGTTGATGATTTTATTAAGGGTTGGTGTTGTTAATAGGAATACCGTGATAAATTAATTGAAAAGAATTACGAAACTTGTATATATGCTAAGAGTGTGTGTGTGTGTGTGTGTGTGTGTCCAATCGCTTCTACATGTCACCGTCTTGTCAACATCTTTCTTTAGGGCAAATAAGCGACAGTGACGGTAGATATAGGTTACAGTGATGGCAGACAGGTGACAGTGATGGCGGGCAGGTAGGCGGTAAGTGGCAGGCGGTAAGTGGCTAGCGGTATGTGGCTTGCTATTGGTGGCAGTTGGCAATTATCAGGTGGCAGACAACAGGTGGTAGATGGAAAATGTTAGACGAGAAGCAGACGATAGGTGGCGTTTGGCAGTCAAGAGGTAAATGACAGGTTGAAAGTGGCAGATAGCTGGTGGCAGGTTGAGGGTGGCAGGTAGAGGGTGGCAGGTAGCTGGTGGTAGATAACTGGTGGCAGTGCTAGAACAGGAGGATAATAATGTAACGTAATCCTCTGACGTCTGACGCCTCGAGCGTCCTGAGTGTAGCTCTCTCTCTCTCTCTCTCTCTCTCTCTCTCTCACGCATGCTCTCCCCATTTTCCTTCCCTCGCGCTCTCATTCACTCACTCCGTCCCTCCCCTTCCGTAATCTCTCCCTCACACACTCTCGCCTCTTCCAGCCTCAACTTCGCACGTTTTCCCTCACTCACTTTCCCTTTCCCTCTCCCCACTCCTTACCCACACACTCCGATTTTCTCTCCTTCCTCCCCCTTCAATCAAGGTGTAGTACCTCTCCCCCACCCCACATGTTCCTTCTCCTTCCTCCTCCATAACTCTCGCTCTCTCTCTCTCCCTCACCCATACTTAATCTCCACCCATATCTCTCTCAACCTACTCTTCCTCCTTCCCCCTATTCTTTCTCTCTCCCCGATTTTTCCTCTCTCCTCTCTTTGCCTCACATGTGCTTAGGCTTTTCCTCCTCCTCGTTCACCCATGCTCTCTTCCTCATCCACCTACTACTCTCTCTCTCTCTCTCTCTCATTTCTAAACCTCTATAATTAACTTCTCTTCACATTTCCAGGTTCATAAAACGCACATAAGGCCAACTGTCTCATTAAAACCCACACGTAGTTCTTTACGGGAGAGCAATTCCTTATTTATCTTCGTCTTTGTCATCAGCTTACATCTTAAGAACCTTCTGAAGATTTTATTTTTGTTATTTCTTTAACCTAGTCTCATCTTTTTTTCTTTCGTTTAATCTAGATTTTCCTTAAACCACTGAGTACGATATTTTACCCCTTTGAGTACGATGTTTTACCCCTTTGAGTACGATGGCCTAATCCTTAATACGATATCATAACCCTTTTTACTGTCTTAACTCTTTGATTAGGGTTAGGTTAGGTTAGGTTAGGTTAGGTTAGGTTTTAATTTCTTACCTTTGGATAGTATTACCCTTCTTTTATTATATCTGGTTCTGTCAACAATTTATATTTATACGAAGGTCTTGTACAGCCAATCCAAAAAGTATCGTGACTCCAGGCGTCCGAAACAATATGAAACATCGAGTGAAGATATGAAGCCTATATTCAACATATACATGAACGTGTCTGAGGTTATCGTTCATTTTCAAATTCCTTCGGTCCCAGGAGTCTCGATACTTTATGGATAGGTTGTATAAGTCTATGAGAATAAACAACAAATTAATTCTATAAAAATCTTGGAATTTATTTATTTTTTTCCCTTAAGGTATTTTTTAGTAGGGGAAAAAGATGGCACTGGCGGGGGAAATTTCCAAATAGTGTCAACTTTAGTTTCCCCCCACGTCTGTAAATTTGAAAATCTTCCAGCCAATCACAATGTCGTAAATGGACTCTGACGCAGGGAAAATTGCATATCTTCCATCCAATCACAATGCAGCAAATCAACCCCCCCCCCCCAACCTTTCTGCCAATCACAATGCAACAAATGAACCCCTCTCTCCCACCACAGTTGGTCACTGGCAGCCAATCATAATATCGAGGAGACCCAAATTTACTGTATTAGAGGGGAGGAAATGTGAGGGAGGCATAGTGGTAGGGAGATGGGTGGAAAGGAAGTGATGGAAGAAGAGAGAAAAGGTGGAAAAGGACGTGACTGATGCAGGTTGAGAAGGATGGGGAAAAAGGGGGAGAAATGGAGAGGAATAACGAGGAAAGAAAAGGAAATGGTGGATGAAAGAAGAGAGGTAAGGAATAGGAGTAATGGAAGGATATAGAGGAAGGAAGGAAGGAAGGAAGGAAGGAAGGAAGGAAGGAAGGAAGGAAGGAAGGAAGGAAGGAAATAGAACAAGACACAAAGTATAAAAGAGGAATAGGGAAGGAAACAGAGGGAGGGGAGGAAATGGGACTGAAAGTGGGGGAAAATTTGGGGAAATGTCTGGCACACAATGATGACTTTTTTCCCCAGTCACTCGAGGATAAAAGTCAATGAGCTTCAGAACACTCACTCACTTCTTTTGTTGTTTTATGTAAGTTTTTTATAAACCTGGAGGTTGTAAATTACCTCTGTTGTGGGGAAAATTTAGTGAGAGTGGGAGGGAGGAACGACGAAGGGATGTGAGAAAAGTAGGCAGGGAAGGAATGATGAATGAGAGACGAAAGAAGTAAGGAGAGAGGAAGAGAGAGATAATAATGAGGGAGGGAAAGGTAAAATTTTAAAATAATCTTTCCAAATCACTTAATATCTGAACAAGAGAGAGAGAGAGAGAGAGAGAGAGAGAGAGAGAGAGAGAGAGAGAGAGAGAGAGAGAGAGAGAGAGAGAGAGAGAGAAGAGGCGAGCCAGACAGACAGACACAAAGGTAAACATGCAGTAAAGGATTTTCACCAGTCAGAATTGCCATTTCCCGACAGAATCAACAAACAGAGTGGAACATGTTGGTCACTACCTGGTGCCTGAACTGACCAACACAGCTGATTGATCTCTTGGTTACTCATCGCGTGGACAAAAGACTCATCGTTGTCAGGGGTAAAGGGGGGAAAGGGGAGGAGAAGGGGGAGAGGGGTGAGGGTAAGGGAAGGGGAGAGGGGTGAGGGTAAGGGAAGGGGAGAGGGGTGAGGGTAAGGGAAGAGGGGCGGTAGGTACGGATGGGGGAGAGGGGAGAAGGGGAGAAACATGACAGAACTGTTCCTTTATTCCGGGTTAAAAACACTTGGGTCAGTTGGCAGTGATTTTCTCTATATCCAGTTTATGACCGTATCATCCCTATACTTATGGGAATAGCACGTGTCTAAGACAGATAGATAGATAGATAGATAGATAGATAGATAGATAGATGGAGAGGATAAATAGATGGGATAAACATGAACTTGAGAGAAATATAATGAAGATGGGAAAAGACCCTAACCTAAACTAACCTAACCATAATGAGAAAGCAAATACCTAAAACCAAAACAATATCAGTAAAAAAAAACAAGAAGGACAATACAATAAAGTCAAAACAGAAAAAGAGGGAAAAATAATAACAAAAATATGAAAATAAAATTACTAGTGAAAGTAAACACCAGAACCATCACAGCTAAATAAATAAACAAAATCCTCACAAAAACAAGAGAAAAATATTACATAAAAAAAAAGATTAATAAAGAGACGTATATTGATAAAGCAGAGACCAGGGCGAGACACACACACACACACACACACACACACACACACACACACACACACACACACACACACACACACACACACACACACACACTGGTAGGAGGAGGAGACGAGGAATCGGGTCTCTCTATTCATTAAGCTGACTTTGATCTACTAATGTGTGAAGAGTCAAATTCTATGAACTGGATCAAAGGTCAGGATTTTTTTGTTTTTTCCCCTTAGAGAGAGAAAGACATATTGGGACTAAGGTAAGATAGTATATTATGGCCACATGTTTCGCATATATGTCTCTCCTCTCTCTATAGTATTGATAATATATGTGGATTATTTTTTTAATATTGTAAGGGGTATTTCGATTCTTTTTGGATAGATAGATAGATAGATAGATAGATAGATAGATAGATAGATAGATAGATAGATAGATAGATAGATAGATAGATAGACTAGAACAGAGCACAAATCTCAAGAGCCTTTTCCCATCCAGCTTTTTTTCTTTTGTTTTTTGTCTATAACTCTTCCTTTTTAATGTACTTTTTTTTATAAATTCGTCTACGATACTTTTAATATTTTTTTTTACCTGTAGTCACTCATTAAAAGTATTTACCTTTCTTCTACAACTGCTAAAGCTTCCCCTCTCTTTTTTGTTTTGTTTTAACTTTCTGATACTTTTAATTTTATTTATTTATTTTTCTTTTGCCGAAAGTCAGATCTCAAAGTCCTCCCTATTTTTTATCTAATTTCTGTAGCTTCAATATTAATGTACTGTTTTTTTTTTTTTACTTATTTTTTCTATAATAAATCCAGTGTTTTTTCCGGTTCTCCTTGTCAATAGAAACGCCACGCGTGTAACCCTTTATTAATTCACATTTTATTCTTGTTCCTATTAATTTTATTTAAAAGGTGTATTATTTTTTAACTCCAATACGCATTCCTATTTTTTTGCGTTTTATATTATTATTATTTTTATTATTATTATTATTATTATTATTATTATTATTATTATTATTATTATTATTATTATTATTATTATTATTATTAGTAGTAGTAGTAGTAGTAGTAGTAGTAGTAGTAGTATTTTGTGTGTGTGTGTCTTCGTCCCCGGAGAGAAAGTTTGAG